CGCCTACGACCCGTCGGCGTCATGAAGGGGAGCAGCGCCAGCCCGCGCGATGTCCTTCAGCGAGACTCTTTTGGTGGGAGTTTCTGTGTATGAGAAGAATGACGGTGCTCAGTCATTTCGGGTGCAAGCTGGCCAGGAGTTTTTACGGGAGGCCACTTCGCTACGTCACGCGGCTGAGCTGCTTGAGGAACGCGGCGCGGAAATTCGCTGGCGCAGCGACCCAGCTGGAAAGGCAGTTCTCTTCATCATCATGGGGTCGATGTTTTCGGTTTGGTTGCCGACAAATTGGCGTGCCATTTCCCTTTCATGAAGCAGGTGCCGACAGACCGCCCCCACATGTCACCCCTCCCTTATGTACCGCATATTTTCCTGTTCAAGAGGCTGAAGTTCGGCAGTTTTGTGTGGGCAGGACTCGGAGCTGGCAGTGGCCGACAAGATGGTGCTTTTCGGGGCATGCGTTTCCTTAGCAAACGCAGGCGGCTTTCAAGTTCGCCTTCGACGGACTGCGCCAGTTGGCGGTGCATATGGCGAGCGTCGACAGGGCGTTGGGGAAACGCCCACCTCCACACATCCATTGCGCACCATTCTTGCCTGATGGCGACGCCCCACGTCATCCGGAAGAGCGAGACTGGCCGCCTCAAGTTCGGTGGCGCTAAGCGCTGCGTTCTGTTGGATTGCAGCGAGGAAGCGGGGGGGCACTTCCGAGGCATGGCGGCAGAACGGGCAGCCGTGCGCACCGTCGCGGACGGAAGCCCATTGGGCGCGGCCGCCGAATGGCGGGGCGCCGTCTCCAAGATGGGGAAGAGCTCCGGATCGTATCAGGGTCTCTGGCCCTGCCGAGCTTCTCTAGCGGGCGCGCGGATGGCGCGGGCCTTTCCGTGAGAGGGCTCGAGGTGGATAATAACCTGGCGTTCGAGAGGTGGTCAGGCTTGGGAAATATTCTAGACGCTTCGCGTATCCCCGCCAGCCCGTCCAGAAACGACGCCCAGGCGAGTAGAGGGTCGTCCCGAGGGGCTTTTTGGCGTCTTGGGTGCGTCGGGGGGGCCTCTGTGGGCCGTTCGGGATCCTCTTTTGGGGCCTCCTGGGGGCCTCTTGGGGCCTCTTGGGGCCATCTTGGGGCCTTTGGGGGCCTCCTGGGCGCTTCTTGGGGCCATCTTTGCCCCCTTCAGAAGGCCCAAATGGGGCCCAAACCATAGTAAAAAGGCCTCTTGGAACACCTTGGGTGCCTCTGGGGGGGTCTCTTGGGGCCTCTTGGGGGTCTCTTGGGGGCCTCCTGGGGGCCTCTTGGGGGGCCTCTTGGGGCCATCTTGGGGCCATCCTGCGGCCTCTTCGGGCGTCCTGGGGGCCTCTTGCGGCCATCGTGGGGGGAATCGATCACAGAAGAGGGGAACTCTAATTAGCGCTGCCCCCTCAAAAGGCCAAAATGGGGCCAAAACCATTGTGGAATCAATGATTTTGGCTTCCTCGCCGAGGCCATTTTGGACGCTCTGACCGCTCCCCACCCCTCCTGTCCAGGTCACTGGGGAGGGGGTAGGGGGAGGGGTAAACCCCTCCCCGAAGGGGAAGAGGGAGGGGTGGAAGAGGAAACGCCCTAAACCACCGACGCCCAGAGGGCTGGTGGGATTTGAGGTGCAAGACGGTGAAGGACCTCACGAGGCAGCTCAAGCTCAAAGGCCACGCAGAGTACTTTGCGATGTATCTGCGTCTCTTTCTGGACGAGCGAGCCCGCGGGCGCGCCAGGGCGGCCCTCGGGGAGAATCGGGCCTGCATCATCGCGGCAGGGAGGGAGCGCAATCATGATCGGAAACACGAGGGGCACCCGGCCGCAGCGATCAATGCGGTCATGTGCGACGCGCCCTGATCGCTACCAGTGCCCGCTGCGATTTCCCCCCGCGCTGTTCGCCATGAGGCCGCAGCCGGAAAATCTGCGACGACGTCGGCGATAGTCGGGGTCGGCGTCGTCGTCGTCGCGGTCGTCGCCGTCGTTGCCGTCGCTGTCGTTGCCGTCGCTGTCGTCGGCGCCGCCGTCGCGGATTTTCTGCCGACGGCGCCGCGGCCGGGAGTGCGAGAAAGTCGCTCCTCCGGATAGAGGAATCCTCGCGGGCGGTCCTGGGCGCGCGAGCCATTCGCGGGCCGTTTGTGGCGCGTGGCGCTTGCGCGCTTGCCTGGCTTTTCACTGCCCGCCACGCTCTCGCCGGAGACGTCCTCGCTGTCGTCGCCGTCGTCGTCGTCGTCCCCGCGGTCGTCGTGGCCCTCGTTATCGGACGATGAGACGATATAATACGATGAGATGATCTTATCGTCTCATCGTCTTCTCGTCTGGTGTGGCCATATATCGTCGTATCGCCTTATGTTTTATCGCCCGGGGAATCTCCATGTTTTCTTATCGTCGTAGCGTCTTATCGCCTGCTGCCCTTTGGCTTCTTCTCGTCCCATCGTCTTAAGTCGTCTAGTCGTCTTGTCGTTTGATCGGCGTATCGTCCGCGCGAGGTTTAAAGCGCTGGGTCCCGCCGTGCTGTATATACATATATGTATCTATAATTTCATGCATGTGTATATATATGAGGGAGAGAGAGAGAGAGAGAGAGAGAGAGAGAGAGAGAGAGAGAGAGAGAGAGAGAGAGAGAGAGAGAGAGAGAGAGAGAGAGAGAGAGAGAGAGAGAGATAGAGAGAGAGAGAGAGAGAGAGAGAGAGAGAGAAAGAAGAGAGAGAGAGAGAGGAGAGAGAGAGAGAGAGAGAGAGAAAGAGAAAAGAGAGAGAGAGAGATAAACAAAGAGAGAGAGAAAGAGAGAGAGAGAGAGAGAGAGAGAGTGAGAGAGAGAAAGAGAGAGAGAGAGAGAGAGAGAGAGAGAGAGAGAGAGGGAGAGAGAGAGAGAGAGAAAGAGAGAGAGGGAGAGAGACAGCGAGAGAGAGAGAGAGAGAAACAATAATATGCGCGTGACGACGCGCCCGTGTGCTTTTCGTCCTTTTTCTCGAGAAGAGATTGGTGACATCTGATGATTGTCTGACAAGCGCTCATCGCATTCTTTGCAAACGTAATGAGGGGGGATGCCCGTTTGGCTGGGATGATGCGATTTCGTCCGTGGGACGGACGATGGGGCAGATAGGGCAGAGTCACACGTAAATTGCACATCCCCAGAGGGGCCTCATAAGTCCAGGAAGGGTGGGGGTGGGGAGTTCCTAATATTCTCTTTAACGAGGATCAATTATTTGCAGCATTTCTGCGAGGTTGCGACGAGGCGTCGACGGAGCGGCGACCGAAAAACAGACCCAGACGGCGGGCGGCGACGAGGCGGCGACGGGGCGGCGGCGGCAACAAACGCGTCGACCGCCAGACAAACCCAGACGACGGGCGGCGACGAGGCGGCGACGGGGCGGCGACGGCGGCAGCGCAACCGCCAGACCGACAGACAGGCCGAATCCCGCAATAACAATAAGAGCCCCTAAATTCAATCAGTGTTTGGGCGGCGGGGGTTTTCAGAAGTCCCCGCGCCATCTGAGAAGTTTTCGGTGCCTTCGGGGAAGGTTTATAACAATTGTTTGTTTATAAGGCTGGGGGGCTCCCGAGCCTTCTGAGAAGGCCCGCCCTTTATCACTTCCCCCGTTCGCTCGCTCGCCACAGAAGATGGGCTCGAAATTTTCGGTCGTGTCGCAGTCGTCCACGGCGAAGTGGTTCTGTCAGGACGTCAGATTCGGGGGAATAATCAAAATTGGAGGTCGAGATCGGTGGCCAGGCACTCGGCCAAGAGTCATGCGCGTGCGCCCTTCACGCGTCGACGTCTTCATTCTGTGTCATTGCGCCATTCAGTATGGTGTTCCTTTGCAGCGCAGAAGCGTGCCAACTGTGCCAAACCTCAATATCCTAAGATACATGTGCCGTGCGCATCCCCTTCCGACGCGCTGTCTGGTGTTTGGTGGAGGTGTTGGCTCTGCTTGCGGTGTTTTTTTTTGATCTTTCGACACGGTTTTTGCTAGAAGTTTTGGCGCCAGTCGAGATCCTCAATTTCACATTTGGGGTTCCAGAGATGCAGGGTTCCACAGACGTGGAGTTCCGCATGCATGGGGCTCTTCACATATACGGTTCCACACGCGTGCACACGGCTCCCGACGCATAGTATGGCTTCCACACAAGCGTGTGTCCAGAAACACAGGCTTTCTCACACAAGTTTCCCGAGACACGAGTGCGGTTCCAAGCGCGCACACACACACACGCGAGCCTCCACACACGGGGTCCCGCGCGCGTGGGGCTCCACGCTTGTTGCACGATTCATCTGTTTGGGGTGCCCGCGCCGGCGCCATGTATACGTTTACGCGGGTGAATGCAAAAAGGCGTGCCGCTTCGTGGCCTTCCGCAGCCTTCGTGAACCCACCTTCGGCCGAAGAGCTTGGCAAGGGAGAGTTCTCGAAACATTCCGGGCATTGAAGACTCTTGGCCTCTCATGGCCTTGCCCGAGAGTTGCGTGGACGCTTCTGAAGGGCCTTCCGAGGCCTCCGGGGGCGTCTCGGAAGCATTTGATGCTCTTGAGGGTGTCCTTGAACAGTTTTTCGCATGTCTTGGGACATCCTGCGGAGACTCTGAAGAGCGCCGAAGGGTGGGAGGGGGCACCGCTCCTAGAAACATCAGTAGCCGTGCCACACAGCCAATCCGACATTCTAACAGGCCCCAACGTGCCGAGGGCACAGTGGCGGATGTATCGTACAGTGGAAGCCCAGGCCAAGAAACACCCTGCTTGCCTCCAGGGTGCCCTGGGCTTCTTGGGTTTCGATGGAAGGCGTGACGTTCCTACACCAAAAAACGACGGACGTCCTGGGGCCTCAGGGTTGGGTTTCTCGTAGGCGGTTTCTTGCGGTCGGACCTTCACTGTAAGGAAGCGTACGATGAAAGGCCACACGTTCTAGACTGAGGACAGAGCGCCGGACCGACGACGAGCGACGCACACGAGTGTAGACTGACGGGGGAGGTACGGCGGGGCGGGGGGGCTCCCTCTGCAGCATCGGAGGCTCCCTGTTCAAAGAGACCATCCACAGCGCCAACTTCTGGCTTTTCCACGGGATCCTCTTCAGGCGTGCTTGTGCCCTCGACGATGTCGGTCAGTGCCATGGGCGCAAGCAGCACGCATTTGTGCACCCTCACTTTGAACTCTGTTCTCCTGCCAGTCGCAGTAATTACCTTGGGCGTTCTACATTTCAGGGGTGGGGTACAGAAGTGCGTGATGCTGCCGATGATGATGCTGATGATGCTGATGATGCTGCTGCTGATGATGCTGATGCTGATGCTGGTGTTGATGCTGATGCTGCTGCTGCTGCTGCTGCTGCTGCTGCTGCTGCTGCTGCTGATGATGATGATGATGATGATGATGATGATGATGATGATGATGATGATGATGATAATGGTTGGTGGGGAAGCTGGAAGAACAGGGTGGAGGAGGGCAGGGAGGGGGGAGTAGGAAAAGGAGGCGGATGGGGGGCAAGGGGGGGAGAAAGAGAGAGCGAGATAGAGAGAGAGAGAGAGACAGACAGGTTAAGGAGAGGATGGGGAGGGATGGTGGAGGATGGAGGATGGAGCTCTGCCTCCCCTTTCGTGGGCCCCTGCTGCTGCCGCTCTCGCCCCTCCCCGCTCCCAAGGCATTCGCCTGGACATGGGTTTCACGTACACGCCCGCGCTGAAAGTAGGTATTTTTGGATTCCCAGATCCCAATCCTCTTTGGGCGCCTCTCTACTCCAAGATCCGAATGATTTTCCCTCTTCCTCCGTCTTCAGGGGGCGGGTGGAAGCTCAATCTACCTCCAACGCCTCCCTACTTCATGGTTCTATCCACTCCTTCCGACTCATGGGGAACCCATGGACTCTTTGATCTTTCTTTCCAACGGGCCCACTATTCTCCGATGATTCGCAGGCCTCCTTCCGTTGGCATTTCCAGCTGGAGGGCCCTGGCTGAAGGGGGCGCTTCGAAGCTACTTCTCTTCGTTCGTGTTCGGCGCTCTGTTGGTTTTCGGCGTCTCTTTGGTTTTCGGCGCCTCTTTGGTTTTCGGCGCCCATTGGGCCTTTGGCGCCCCTTCGGTTTTCGGCGCTCCTTTGGTCTTCGGCGCTCCTGTGGTTTTCGGCGCTCCTGTGGTTTGGGCGCTCCTTTGGTTTTCGACGCACTGTTGGTTTTCTGTGCACCCTTTTTGGTTTTCGGCGCATCTTCGGTTTTCGGTGCCCTTTTGGGTTCCGGCGCCCCTTTGGTTTTCGGCGCCTTCTTCGTTTTTGGCGCCCTCTTGATTTTCGGCACCCCTTTGGTTTTCGGCTCGCTTGTGGTTTTCGGCGCTCTTTGGTTTTCGGCGCCTTTTTGGTTTTGGGCGCGTCTTTGGTTTTCGGCGCGCCTTTGGTTTTTGGCGCCCTTTGGTTGTCGACGCCGTGTTGCTTATCGGTGCCCCTTTTGTTTTTTCAGCGCCCTTTGGTTTTCGGCGCACAGTTGGTTTTCGGCGGCCTTTTGGTTTTCGGCGCCTCTTTGGTTTTCGGCGCCCCTTTGGTCTTCGGCGCTCCTGCAGTTTTCGGCGCCCCTTTTGTTTTTGGCGTCCTTTTTGTTTTCAGCGCCCTGTCCGTCTTCGGAGCTTCTGTTGTTTTTGGCGTCAATTTCGTATTCGGTGGCCCTTTTGGGTATCGGCGCCCCTTTGGTTTTTCGGCGCCTTCTGGGTTTTCGGTGCATCGTTGGTTTTCGACGTACCTTTGGTTTTCGGCGCTCCTTTTGGTTTTTGGCGCCCCTTGGGTGTTCGGCGCCCCTTTGGTTTTCGGCGCCCTCTTGGTTTTCGGCGCCCCTTTGGGTTTCGGTGTGCTCTCGGTTTTCGGCGCCCTTCTGGTCACCGGCGCATCTTTGGTTTTCGGCGTTTTTTGTGTTCGGCGGTTTTTTGGTGTCCTTTTGGTTTTTCGGTGCCCTCTTCGTTTAGGCGCCCCTTTGATTTTCTGCGCTCTCTCGGTTTTCGGCGCTCCTGTGGTTCTCGGCGCCCTTGTGGTCTTTGGCGCCCCTTTGGTTTTCGGCACCGTTTTGGTTTTCGGTGCACTTTTTTGTGTTTGGCGACCCTTTGGTTGTCGGCGCCACATTGGTTTTCGGCGCTCTTTCCAAGTCTGGCGCCCTTCTGGTTTTCGGCGCCCTTATTGTTTTCGGCGCCCTTCTGGTTTTCGGCGCCCTTCTGGTTTTCGGCGCCCTTCTGGTTTTCGGCGCTCTTTTTGTTTTCGGCGCCTTTTTGGTTTTCGGCGCTTTGTTGGTTTTCGGAGTCTTTTTTTAGTTTTCGGCGCCCATTTGGTTTTCGGCGTTCGTGCGGTTTTCGGTTCCTTTTGGTTTTCGGCGCCCCTTTGCTTGTCGGCGCTCTTTTGGTTTTCAGCGCTTCTTAGTTTTCGGCTCCCTTTGGTTGTCGGCGCCCTTTTGGTTTCGACGCCCCTTTGGTTTTCGGCGCACCTTTGGTTTTTCGGCGCCTTCTGAGTTTTCGGCGCTCTTTTGGTTTTCGGCGCACCTTCGGTTTTCGGCGCCCATTCGGTTTTCGGCGTTCTTTCGGTTTTCGGCGCGCTCCTGGTTTTCGCACCCTGTCGGTTTTCGGTGGGTCTTTGGTTTTCGGCGCTCTGTTGGTTTTCGGCGCCCTTTTGGTCTTCGCCGCTCTTTCCTTTAGCCCACGGGGGGGGGGCTTCCAAGCCCCCCCGGGGGGGCTTCTGGCAGCTGGGGTTCAGAGGGGGGGTTAGCTAAGCCCCCCCCTTTGGAAAGCGAGGAGGGGCGGGTAGCTTCCGGAGGGCGAAGGGGGGGGAGGGTTGGCAGCTTCCGAGGGGCGGAGGATCGGGAGGGGGGGGGCTTCCGGCAGGGGAGGTCCAAGGGGGAGGGGGGGGTACCTAAGCCCCCCCCCCGTTTGGACAGGGAGGGGGGGGGTAGCTTCCGGAGCGCGACAGGGAGAGGGGGTTAGCTTCCAAGGGGCGGGAAAAGGAAGGAAGGGGGGGGGCTTTTGGCAGGGGAGGTCCAGGTGGGGGGGGCCCCCCCCCCCCCCCCGGCAGTGTAACACGGGCGCGCTCTCTCCTCCGGCTTCTCGTTCTCCTCGTTCTCGTCTTCGAGGCATAGTGTGGCTGCGGCCGGCCCCAGCCCCCCCCCCGCTCCGCAGGCTGTGCACGAGCTTTGAGGACTCGACCAGGACTCCCCCGATGGCCAGGCTGCTGCTGAACCTGTTCGCGAAGCAGGCCGCCCTCGCACGTATGGAGATCACACTGCTCGGGCCGAGCGAAAGGGGGGGATAGGGAAAGGGGGTATTAACGAAATCTGCTGCATGCAGCTGTTTTCGGCCCCGCCGCCGGACCCATTCCTCGATACATGGGCGCCTCCCGGCGCCCGCAGGCGCTGGGAAAATCAGCTACGTGAGCTGATTCTCTACCCTATCCTTTGCTATCCCTCCCTTTTGTTCCCTGGGAATTGCGCCGATCTTCGCCCCCGTCCCTTGATTCTACCTCTCTCCCGCAGGAGGATCGGGGGCAACGTGAGGAGGGGATCGGCTCAGGGGGCGATGCGTAGACCCCCGATCGCCTAGTCATCGCCGATAGGTGCCTGATCATTCGCCTGCCCCGCGCAGGAGCGTGCGGATTCGCTGTCGGAGGCCAGTCGCCCATCTATCGGCGATGTATTGCCGATTCAAGCTCGATGCTTTCCCTCCTGAGCCAGTTCCCCCCCCAACGGAGGACCGAGGCTTGCGCACGTTTGTGTTTTTTTTGGGGCCTTCTGGAGGTGCCCAGCGACCTCTGCAAGCCACCACCTCCTCTGGAGGTAGGAGGATGGGGAGGAGGAGGAGGAGGAGGAGGAGGAGGAGGAGGAGAGGAGAGGAGAGAGGAGGAGGAGGAGGGGAGGAGGAGGAGGAGGGAGGAGGAGGAGGAGGAGGAGGAGGAGGACGGGAGGAGGAGGAGGGGGAGTATAGGAGGAGGAGGAGGAGGGGGGGGGGAGGAGGAGGAGGAGGAGGAGGGAGGAGGGAGGGGAGGAGGGGGGAGGAGGAGGAGGAGGAAGGAGGGAGGGCAGAGGAGGAGGAGGAGGGAGGGGGGGAGGAGGGTGGGGAGAGGGGAGGAGGGGAGGAGGCGAGGGGGGGGGGGAGGAGGGGAGCGAGAGGAGGAGGAGGAGGAGGAGGAGGAAGTGAGGAAGGAGAGGGAGGAGGAGGAGGAGGAGGAGGAATCATTATAAATACAATGAGAATAAGACTCATACTGTACTACTACTACTACTACTACTACTACTACTATTACTACTACAACTGCTCCTACTAATACTACTACTACTACTATTACTAACACTACTACTACTAATAAGAAGACGAGTAGTATTAATAATATTCATAATATTAATGATATTAATACTAATATACTACGAATAATAACAGTACTAATAATTATACTATTAATAGTACTAGTAAGAATAATACTATTAGTACTACTAATAATAAGACTAAGATGAAGATTACGCAGACTACGATTACTAATACTACTTGTATATGAAGTAATCCCGAAAATACGACTAATAATAGTAATAATAATTACAATAATAATAATAATAATGCCACTACTACAAATAATAATAAGCAGACGAAGAAGACGAATACTAATAATAATAACAACAACAATAAACCAATACTACTACTACTGCTACTACTACTACTACTACTGCTACTACTACTACTACTACTAATAATAATAACAATACTATTAATAATGATAATAATAATGCAAATACTAATAATCATACTCGTAATACTAAGAAGACTAAGAAGAATATGATGATGAGGAGGAGGAGAAACAAGAGGGACGGAGGATGATGATGATGATGAGGAGGAGGAGGAGGAAGAGGAGGAGGAGGAGGAGGCGGAGGAGGAGGAGGAACAAGAGGGAGGAGGATGAGGAGGAGGAGGAGGAGGAGGCGGAGGCGGAGGCGGAGGCGGAGGCGGAGGCGGAGGAGGAGGAGGAGGAGGGAGGGAGGGAGGGAGGGAGGGAGGGAGGCAAGCTAGGTGCGCTCGCGTCATATCTGACGTCTTACCCATCCCTCCCATCCCTTACCATGGCGCTGATTTTCTCTATCCGCGGACGCGTGTCGTAGCGGACCTGTGGCTCCGCGCGCGCGTGCGTAGTGGGTGGTGGTGCACGTGCGTGCGTGCGTGTGTGCGTGGTTGTCGTGGTGGTGGTGGTGGTGGTGGTGGTGATGGTGGTGGCGGTGGTGGTGCTGGTGCTGGTGGTGGCGCGGCGCTTGGTGGTGGCGGGGGAATGGGCATGGGCGCGCGAGGGGGGGGGGGAAAGAGGCCCGCGATGGGGCGAGAACGCCATCCTGAACGACGGAGGCCAAACACCGATCCGAAAATGAGGCCCACGCTGCAGCGGGAGCACGATTCGGAACGATTCGGGAGCAGAAATGAGGCCGGCGCCTCAGCGAGAGCAGCATTTTGAAAAAAAAAACGCAGGCGAAAACCCGTTTCCCGGGAATCCTCTGTGTAAAAAAGCAATACGCGGGGGGGTGTCGGATATTTTCGGGACGCCATCAGGGGAAGTGGGAGAGTATTTTCATATTGTGTAATTGTAGAGGAGGGGAGGGGAAGGGAGGGGAGGGGAGGGGAGAGGGGAGGGAGGGGAGGGAAGGGAGGATTGAGAGGGGGAGGGCTAGGGAGGGAGGGAGGGAGCGAGGGAGCGAGGATGAGGGGGCGGGAGGGATGAGGGATGAGGGAGGAGGGAGGAGGGAGGGAGGGAGGGCAGGAGGGAGGGAGGAAGGGAGGAGGGATAAGGGAGGAGGGAGGAGGGACAAACTAGGTGCGCTCGCGTCATATCTGACGTCCTAACCCTCACTCCCATCCCTTGCTATGGCGTAGATCCCCTCTTTATTCGCACAGTTGGATGTCGCAGCAGAGCATAGCATTACATGGCATAGCATGGTGTTGAAGATCAACGCGTATCCGGACATAGCATGGCATGGAGACGCCCCACAGTGGGGCGTCTCCGAGTGTGTAATCACTTCAGATATTTGTTTCGGAGGGGCCATTTTCTGGATTTTGGGGCCTATTTGGAAAGACCGAGAACCATGCCGTGGCATGCATGGCGCTGGAAATAATGACGCCAGCGCTGCAACGGGATCGCAATTCGGAAAGAGCGGAAGCGCGGAAATCAGGCCAGCGCTGCAGCGGGAGCAGGAGCACGATTCGGAGGACGCGTAGCCTGACATAGCATGGCGTGGCGACACCCTAAAGTGGGAGGGGGGAGTTTTTGTGACCCACAAGATCAACGAATCGACACCGAACGTGTAATCATTTCCAATGGTGTTTTTCGAGGGGGGGCATTTTTCCCCACCTAGGCTCTGCCTAGAGGGTTCTTACTCGCTGGGCTTAAAGGGGCTGGGCAGTGTTCCTCGCCCCGGGCGGTTCCCCCAGTATCCGCCCCGCGGTTTCCCCAGTTGCGCCCCCTTAGCTTAGCTTTGCTTATCTCATCTGAGCTTAGCTTAGCTTAGCTTAGCTTAGCTTAGCTTGGCTTGGCCTAGCCTAGCCTAGCTTAGCTTAACTTAGCCTAGCCTAGCCTAATTTAGCTTATCTTAGCTTAGCTCAGCTTAGCTTAACGCAGCGCAGCGCAGCATTATCATAGCACATCATAGCATAACGTAGCATTTCATAACATATTGTAGCATAGCACAACGCAGCATAACATAGCGCACCATAGCATATCATAGCATAGCATAGCATAACGCAGCATCTCATAGCATATCGCAACATAGCATAGCTTAGCTTAGCATAGCACAGCGCAGCATATCATAGCATAGCATATCATATCATATCATAGCATAGCATAGCATATCATGGCATAGCGCAGCATATCATAACATAGCGCAGCATAGCGCAGCATATCATAGCATAGCGCAGAATATCATATCATAATATAGCCTAGCATAGCATAACATAGCGCAGCATATCATTGCATATCATAGCATAACATAGCGCAGCATAGCTTGTTGCTGCATAGCCTAGCATAGCATAGCATAGCATAGCGCAGCATAGCTTGTTGCTTTCATAGATGCTCCAACTCCTAGGTAGGGTCGCACTGGGATAATCTAGATTTTGGGGCCTATTTGGAATATCCGAGAACCATGTTGTGGCATGGCGCTGGAAATAATGACGCCAGCGCTGCAGCGGGAGCACGATTCGGAATGAGCGGAAGCGCGGAAATGAGGCCAGCGCTGCAGCGGGAGCACGATTCGGAACGAGCGGCAGCCTGAAAATGAGGCCAGCGCTTCAGCGAGAGCAGCATTTCGAACAAACCCAAGCGAAAACCCAACTCCTGGGAAT